ATATGTATGTAGAAAGTGTAGATGTGGGGAACTATTTTTTTGATCGATTTTCAAAAATTATATAGTCCTTACCCACCAAGCAAAACATGGGAAATAGGCAAAAATCGTCAATGGCAACAAATTGGCCTCTCACCGATTTATCGGTGGTGACATCACTTCGTTCATGTCAATTTGGAATAAATAAGTTCTCAAAAATTCCAAAACTTATGAATATGGCGTCAACAGTATTGTCCAAGGAATTTTAATTATGACCAAGGACAGGATGGAAAAATAGGAAGCCCCGTAGCGAGAAAAAGAATTAATTCCGATAATAAGTTGCCATTTTGTATACAAAAAATAAGGCGTGGCCTAATGAACGCAAAGCCCAGGCGGTGCGTTAGCGCCATCTGTAGCTCGTTTCTGTAACAATTCTCTCTCACGTATATTCTCTACCAGTAGAGAAATAATCGGTAGAGAAGAGTTACAGAAACGAGCTACTGGATAGAGTGATATTGGTTCTAAGCAAGCAAAGGAGGGGTGAAGTTATGCCGCCTTTTGCCGTGTAGTGACACAGCACTTCCAAGGCGAGCAAGTCGCCATTATAAATCTAACGTCCTGCAAAACAAAGCCGAAGCTACATAGGTAAAGAGTGTCTAACTCTTTTGAATAGAATTATGGCAGTAATCAGTCCAAATTCGTTTGTTAGTTTGTTGATCAACCTCGAAAACACAACAGCTGATATTTTATTCAGAGAGTGTATCGAGCAGGTATCGGATTTGACTTCTAATTGTAAGTACCTACTATAACATGATTTTTTCTATAGTTGTCGCATGGCACGAAGCTGTCGAGTAACCAAACTGATGTGGCCTGAACATAACTTCATAAGAATGAGCGGCCAGTTAGTAAAACACAATTTTACGTTGTCAGGTTAGTAACAATTCGTATTGATCATAAGGCTGAGGAGCATTGCATACAATGAATTTAAAAGAATATGCTGGAATGAAAGTGAACATGCAAAAATCAAGCATTTTTTAACAAATGTCCGGTCTAATGAGTAGAAGGAAGACTATGCAAGGAGCATTAGATTTCACATCTCAGCAAGGTCCTTCCGATTTAGGCCCTTACAAATACCTATACATTTTTTATCCAACACGCTGATAGGCTTTAACCGAATAATACGAGGTTTATGGTACCAAAATGAAAAGTTTTGCTTTTAAATTTGTTTCACATCTCCTGATGCAGACTAATATACATACATATTTTCATACTTACATATATGTACATTAGGATGGTGCTTAAAAAATCAAATGCACGATTTTTCATTCTCACAGATATCACATATACATTGTGGTCCCGATTGGACTCCAAAAATTAAAGATATTTTTTTGTTCATTGAATACCCAAAATCGAAACTACTAAAGTCGAGGATATCACATATAAATTTTGGTCCCGATTTGAGTCGGTTAAGACATCTTCATAGGGTAATCTGAACTTTAACCCCTGTGCGACACGCCTTAACCGCATCCTATTGGGACCACCATTTATATGCGATATCTGATGTAAAAATTGTCTTGCTACATTTAAGGACCACCCTATTATGCATCCATATATATAAGACAAACATACATACATACATGGATATATAGTATGATCCAGTGGATGACTTGACGCCTTACTGCCAAATATTGCCACACAACAATTAGTCATTTCAGTTTGACTTTGATTACAGATTTTCAGTTTATCGTTTTTGCACACCAAGAAGCCTCAAAATTCGAGTTGCAAAGTTCTAAGCATTCGTTGTTGAGCGTCTGTACTACATATACGTACGACCTTTTAAATTATTAAGAACTTTCACTACATATAGTATGTATTTTATATTTAGTTGTATAATTTTATTATAAGTATATGCGTATATGCGTTTGTGCGTTTTTGATACTTACACTTTCGATAACAATGTCAGTGCAGTAGCACTTGTAAATTTCCGCCGTTGTTGCGACACAGCTCAGTATGAGATTGCATGCGTCAGCAAAGGAATTTCAATGAAAGGAAGGAGATACTTTTGAAGGAATTTCGTTTAGTGGAAGAAGACACATATTTCAATAAATGCATATACATATCTACTCGTGTGTATATGTTTATATGGCAGTAGTGCAGTGCAGTATTTGCCAAAGCATTTTAATTCCATATTTTATTTTCTCTGACAGCTATAAGAGCTGAGAGAAAAAAAATGTGTTTCCATAAGAAAAATATCAACTCAATATGACGTCACTGCATTGACGGATAATGACTGCTAAAGTTAGCTTGAGATAAAGGACTATGTCTGCGGGAAGACATAGGCTGACAACACTGCCATCCCAGAAATGCGATGGACGGTGCAAGGCAAGGTAAGCGTGGAGCCTTGCGACGTCTACTGCAGTTGCCACGTGAAAGAGCGGAAATTTGGTGTTGGACTTGTGGTGGGAGAGAGACTCCGTCAACGGGTATGACCCGCGAGAAAAGGATCGACACTCACTATATATTTGTAGATTTCTATCCCCGCAAAACTAATATGGCTGTGTAAAATGACGTTGAGCAATACCACCAGATCTGTCGGAATTGGGAAGGACCACTCCAAACCGCTTGATACCAAATGAGGTTACAGATTCCCTTTCTTGTGATTTCTTTAATCTGATGTTGGAGAAGATAACAAGAGCCGCAGAACTGAACCACTCTGGCACAATGCTTTACAAGAGCTTACAATTGCTGACGTATGCCGACGATCTTGATATTATCGGTTAAAAACAAGGGCAAAACGCATAGGTCTGGTGGTGAACGAGGTCAATAGACAAAACGAATCTCTTGACACACGCGTCACTGTTGACAGTAATGAGTTTTTAAAAGCTTTATTTGGGAACCATCATTAACACCAATAATAATGTCAGCCTTCAAACCCAACGGAAAATTACTCTTGCCAACAAGTGCTACTTTGGACTGAGTAGGAAATATAGCAGTAAAGTCCTCTCTCGTCGTAAAAAAATCTCACTCTATAAGTCGCTAATCATGCCGATGCTGGTGTATATCGCTGAGGCATGTCGTTCGAATGGACAGAAACGCTCCAGCTCTGAAAATATTCAACGCCGGTGGCGATGCTGGTGACAGAGGAAGAGGAAGGCGCCCTCTGCGTAGGAAAGGCCAGGAGCAGAAGGACTTGGCTTCACTTGGCATTTTCAATTGCCGTCGGTTGGCACAGAAGTGAAACGACTGGCGTGCTGGTTTGGACAGTGCCAATAAAGAAGAAGAATGTAGCGGTAGTACAAAAACAAAAGCTTACATGTCTTCTGTTTTTACCTTCGGTATATAAATGTCGAATTTCAGCCATTCTTCGGTCAAGGAAGAAGATGGAGAAACAAATAAAACACTCTAACTTTCTCACTCACTCATAAGAAATTTTGAAATATGTGTACCGAGGTGAATCAAATCAGCTGTTCTAGCAATATCACCTTAATGAATGAAAAAAGAAATCAAATTTTGCCGTGACTGTCTGTCCCTCTGCCTGTGCACACGATAACACGATAACTCGAGGCACATTAATATGCCTTGGTAACTACTGAAGCGAATTTATTCAAAATGATGATGTTTGCATTAACTTTTTTATCAAGAAATGTGGCTATAACAAATTTTTGGAAAAGGGAGGTGGCACCGCCCACTTATAACTATATATGTAAGTTTATCTCTCTAAATCTAACTGAGAATACTATCGAAGTTGTTTGAAATAGGGGCAAAACCACCCCACCTTACCATGTAACGGTGGTTTTCGGAGAGGTGAAAAAGCTATATTTAATACGTGCGCCGGGTATTTAATATTCGTTTTCGCCAGAACTTCATAACAAGTGAAAATAGTACATGTTTGTAGTGTTCTGATATCAGTCGCATATTTCGAAAACTAAGGGACCAGTTTGAGTTCACACAAACAGACAGACGGACATAACTAAATCAACTCAGCTCGGAGTTCTGATCTTTTTGTTATCCATCTGGAACTTATGAACATCCGACCAAAGTTATGACCATAGTTGCCAACTTGGTGGTTTAAGCACTAGATTTAGTGCTTTTTGAAAATAAAAACGCCAAAAAAAATTATTTAGTGCCTAGTGCCTTTTTTAGTGTTTTTTTTCTGAACTAAAATTACTTCGAGATACGTAGTTAAAACCTGAAATAATTTGAAATATTTAAGGCTGCGGCAGCACTGAATTTGATAAAAAGCTGAAGTTGCAAACCCACCTTGTTAAATTCTATTCGCGTTGAAAATGCTAGTACGTAAGTAAGTTAAGTATTTCTTTTTTTCTTTTCTAATTATTTGTACAAATTTTGCTTTTTTTACCACCTGAGTAAAACACATCGTTTCTTGGTGCTGAATCCAAATCTGGCCTCACAATTGCTCTAGCACTAGAATTTTGAGATATCCTAACCTCAAAGTGCCAAAAACACTTGAAAATCAAAAGATGGCAACACTGGTTATGACACCACTTGATGTTCATGAAACTTATAAAAAGCAGTCTCAACTTCAAGTTGATTTTGGAAACGCTCCCCTAAATTGGCAGTGATCATCAAGAGTAAGTTTTCGAAGTATACAAAGCAAGATAGTTTGCAAATGTCAATAAATCTTCAGCTAATTAATTTATGGTGGTTTCGTTTCTTCTAAAAAATGTTGCCATTCCCGGGTGCAAAATGTGTTCGATGTTACACTCAACCCTGTAAAAGGGCATGTTTTTGCCTTCTTGTCCTTTCCAAGCTCACGCTGACAAAGCTTCAAAGGGCCAGAGAATGTGACTTTTTTGCCTTAAAAGAGTGTGAAATTTTAAGACACGAACACACAATTTTCTCACCCTTTGCCTTTAATTTAGAACCGAACACGAAAAGAGAAAGGGGCAATGAAATGGCGATATTTTTTGGTAGAAACGAAATCACCATTAGAAACACTAGACGGCCATAAATTATTTACTAACAAATAAAAGAGGTAAAACATGCAGGATTATTACACTTACCTCAGCAGAAGAAATTTAGAAGGGGCTTGTTTCTGTGCTCGGTTGTTCTTCTCGCCTTGGCTAGTTGTATTTAGTTACTTCAGCAAACAAATCGCACACAAATCATTACACACTAAATTAAAATTTTATGAAACACTCACTGGTTGGTATTTATGAACAAACAAATCAATCTACGTACATACATATGTATGTACATATGTGTATGTAGGTATGTATGTGTTTGCCCACTGTGTACACAAAACACGTTGCACCCCTCGGTCTTTTCTTCTTTCTTTGCTTTTGGTTTGTTCGCATGTGTCACATAAATCTGTAATTACAAGGTTTCAGTGTGTATTCGAGCTAGAAATTCTATTTTGTTTTGTTGATTTCGATTTTATTTTACTAAATATTCTTTTAATATAAGTATACTTTTGTTGTTGTTGCAATTTTATATAGTTATGTGAACCGAGCACTCGTCTACACGTCACTACACCCTTTTCCTAAATTGCACAACTGTCACATTGGGTTTTTGCCACCTTGCCTGCCTGCCTGCCTGCTTGCCTTAGCCAAAGCGCCTCAGCTACGCCAGTACTGCCGTCTTCGAGACAAAATTTAAATTATGAAACTTTTTTGTGTTTTCATATTACCCACCTATGTAGTATGTATGTATGTATGCATCGAGGCATATACTATAATTATTTTAACATCTCATTTTGTAATCTTTTGAGCACAATTGCAACTCGAAAAATGCGTACGGTATTTATGTTCGTACGAAATCTTACAATTCACGTCACTTCACTTGTTTCGAATGCGCCGAGCGAATTATTTTTAACAACAGCAATTTTTTGGTCTGCTATTTTTAGCTGTAGACGTGTTTTTTGCACGCTTGTCTAATCTGCTGCGAGGGGGTCTGCTAGTGAATCGAAAGTATCAACGACCTCAGAACTGAAGTACTGCGGAGCAAACCAACACAGATCACCAACGCCAAATAGTAAACGACCGAGTGATGCGTTTGGCTTTTGCAAAACTCAATAGGGCTATTCGCGATTCGGTGTATAAGAGCTGACAAATTTATGCAATTGCAGAAATATGCCATGGATTGTGAGCGACCTTTATTAAACTGTCATGGCAAAGCTTTTGCAAAACAATTTTTGTGCATCAGCTTTGGTTTTGTTTATGAATGCAATGCATAGCATTTTTATGCTATGGATTTTCGGTATTGCAAATTTGCCAAGCCATGACAAATGCAAATGCGTGTATTTTGTTTGTGTATTGCAAATAATTTGCAATACAAATTTGCAATGCAATGATGCTAGGCCATTTGCACCGGATCGCGAATAGCCCTAATAATATTTTTACGCACTTTGCACTAACCGAAATTCCTCATATCAGTCTAGGACGTATGTAGGCTGGCAGACTCCCTGTGAAAAATGCAGAATATATCTTTGTAATTTCTTTTATATATTTTTTTGGCTTCACGTCCAACACTCTAACCAACACAACCGTGCCACGTTACCCATCCGTCTCAAACGCGAATCATTTCTGAATTGTATTCCGAGTTCCGTGTTTCGAATGGACCGCAGGAGCGCTGACAGTGAGAGGTTGGTTGCACTCTGGCAAAGTGTCGCTCTTTTTTGCGCTCTGATGGCAACTGTCAGCGGCTGACGTTTGATGCAATTGGCAATGCCGAGTATTCTAGGGTTGAAATGCGCATGTCTTTGCGAGCAACTCTGTGATAACGGTTGTTTAGTGGAAGAGGGATGCATAGCTGTTGCGAACACTGGGTGGTTTTTGTAATCTATATTTCGTATGAGTTGATAAAATACAAACAAAAGTCCTAAAAAGAAAGGCACTAAAAACATAGCACAACAGGCATCTTAAAATTTTCCAGACATTTGCAGTTACACACCTTAATATAGAAAGGTCATATGTAATGTTTTTGCTTCTATGCTGAGTTGTTATAAAACTTCATAAAAATTAAAGCTCTTTGGCTACGAATGTTTTAAAAACACCGGTTTTTAATAAATACTGAAATTAATTTACTGGTGGACTACATCATCAAATGGTCCGGTTGCGACCGGAAGTGGATTAAACTGACCGGAAATCCGTTTATTCCGATTCCGGTTCTGAGGATAAAAATATGTAACTTTTGCTTGACACTTTTGGCTCGGAAATGCCTCTTTCAACCTCAAAGTGACCTTCGAACATCAACTCGTCCTGGACTTCTTAAATGAGTGAAATATAAAAAATTAATATATATCACCAAGTCGGGGTTGCTCTATCTTTAGGTACTATTAAAGTAAATTAAACAGACCGGAAGTCCATTGGGCGTTAATTACCACGCAGCGGGTACGTGGGTAACGTCCGGAAGAGGTAGTTTGCTTAAACGAGGTGGATTAAAACCAAGGCACTAGTAGTGACCGTAAACTACTTCAATCAGACTGAATGCACCGTCTTCGCTAAGCTTGCTAGTTGAGACGGAATTTAGAAGCATATGCATATGTATGTATGTACACCTCCGGCAAAAAGTAGTGGCACTGCTGCTTTTTTTACAATATATGCAACAATTCTTATTGTAATATTTTTCCGAGAGATTTTTGAAGTGAAACTTCTTTAGCGGCGGCTGGTTGGTTGGGAGTAAATTGGCAAATTCAACGGAAATTGTACACGGAAATGGTGCAACGGAAATGGCTGGGACGAAAGCAAGTGCTTCTTGAATGTACATATGATAATAAAAAATAACACTTAGAAAAAGACCAATACAGGAGTGAAAGTAAAAGTGAGTACGTACATAGATAAAGAAAAGGATGAAGGCAAAAGTAAAAATAAAAACAAAAACAAAGATGCGTAAAGATAAAGGCAAAAATGAAGACCAAGGTAAATTTAAACACTTTACTTATATATGAGCAAATGTGAAGGGGAATATCTATATGAAGTAAATGATAAACATACAAGTAAAAATAAAGATAAATATAAAGAAAAAGATGAGGATGAGGATACCGATAAAAGTAAAGATGAAGATAGAGGAATATTAAAATAAAGGTAACTCCATCTGGGAACTATTTTGGGATTTTAGAGATTTCGGGATTCTCGGGACTTATCGATATAATAATCGATATTTTTATCGGTTTTGTTATCGATTATTTCTCATTTTTTTTAACGATTTGTTATCGATATTTTTGTCGATTTTGTTAACGATTTTCTTATCGATTTTGCTATCGAAATTTTTTTCGAATTTGCCATCGATTTCGTTATCGATATTTTATCGATTTTGTCATCGGTTATTTATCGATTTCTTATCGATTTTTTAGCGATTTTGTTATGGATTGTTTATCGTTTTTGTTATCAATATTTTTATCGACATTGTTGATATTTTTATCGATTTTCTAATCGATGTTTGTTATCGATTATTTGTCGATTTTGTAATCGATATTTTTACCGATTTTTTTTATTGATTTTATTGTCGATTTTGTTGTAGATATTTTATAGATTTTTTAATCGATTTTGCTACCAATATTATCATCAATTTCGCTATCGAAACTTGTTATTAATATTTTTATCGGTTTTGTTATAGATATTTTTTTGGATTTATTATCAAATACAAAATAACATAAATACAATTAGAACGAACAAAAAATATAACCATAAGCAAAAGCAGATGTATGTATTATGTACATATGTACATATCGTCCTTTAAAGTACAAAACCATACAATAATTATCCATTCGTCCTGAAATATACTAGCCACAATCGCGATTGCTTTATAAAAACGAGAACCAATTTGAAATATGAGTGTTTTTACTATCTAGCAAATAATTTATGCAACCTCACATACGCGGTTTTGCATTTTGTTGATACGCGGTTTTGTACTTTAAATGACGATATGTAACCTGATTTTTGTTAATAAACCAGCGAAAATTATGTGTCCGAATAAAAACTGGCGTGTCATGAGAATTGCCCATATATCTTTGGAAAGAATAATGTTGTAATTTTTTAAATCAATAATGACTTTTGCGAAAAAAGGTTGAATATGTGTAAAAAATTTGCAATCAGTTTGAAATTTACTAAACTTTTTTTTATATTTTCCATTTTGATAGATGTTTCCTATGCACGATGTAAAAAAAAAAACACGCTCACATTTACATAAGTCATTTTCGGCAAAGAACAAGGTATCAGTATTTAAAATTAACCCGAACCTAAACGAAATTCGCAACAGCTGAATAACAAATAAAAAATAAAAATACACAAGCGAAAAGATGGATCCCCAAATTTTCCCATTCCGCTTCCTGAAAACACAAAGCCACGTGGAAATAGTGGCTGCTGATTTTGTTACCGGCGGCAGCGACAAAGGCTGACTTCCAAAACGTCAATTGCTTTGCATACGTACAAAGTATAATGTCCCATGACGCCGAACTACAAAATGTTGACAATGTATACTTTTCAAAAGGCATTCAAAAAGTTATCGTAACGCATCGCTAGAGCAATCAGTGCATCAGCGCATGGTTCGTTTGTTTTTGGTTACCATTGGTGTTTTAAAAATGGAAAATTCAGAAAAATTGTTCATTCTCTACTCTGCATTTACAAACAGTAACAGTATAACAGTTTCCAAACGTTGTATTGATACGTTTTGGAATTCAGCCAAAATTTAAATTAAATTTATTCTCGCAGAATTTTGTCAGAGCTTCGTCGTCACTTTGCTCTGTGATGTACCTTACTGCCACTTTAATTGCAGAGGTTTCAACCTGGAAAACGCTTGGATAGCCTGGTAGGCGAAATAATAACATTGAGTCATATTATTCAATGAAAACCCCCGCATCAACCCCGCATTCCATATTTGACCCATCTGTAAAGACAGTTAAGCCTCCCCAGAATTGGAATTTTCCTTAAGTCTAGCTCGTGAATTCCGTACGGGGTTTGTGGTGAATCCAGGTCGTAGTCAGTGGACTGAGCTTTAATTTCAGGCGGGAGTGGGTCTAAAATGGAACCGTGCCCAATCTGTATTTCCTTCCAGAGCCCCAAGGCATGCAGTATGATGAAGCATTTATCAGCTGATTTTTTCGATAAAGATATCCATCGGTAATAAATCAAGCAGAACGTTCAAAACATCATTCGGGCAGGATCCAATTGTACCTTTTACGTCAGCCTATGAATTCCGCTTAGCTTTTAGCTACGTATGCGTCGGATTATAGCATACAATTCTTGATTTCAAACCCCATCCTGACATTTTCTTGGCTGCATAGACAGTCACCGTGACCTTCCTTACACGTCCTTCAATATTAAGCTTCCAGTGAATTTTGGGATCCAGAATAACTCCAAGATATTTTATTTTGTTTCGCAGATACAGTTCCGTTCCCCGAAACCTTGGTTTACTAAAATTACGCGATTTTGTTTTATTTTTGAAAAACATAAGGTTAGTTTTCTCAGGGTTTGCGCAAAGAGAGAATATGCCGTCTTTAGAGCCAGCTCCATAGTCTCACTAATGACTGGCGTAAGCCACCGCCTTAATTCTCTGGCAGTGTAGCTTTACCAGTAGTTTCTTCACGGCCATGAGCCATACTAACGGTGTTAACACTCCTCCCTGTGGGCTGCCTCTCACTGCATATACGGCCCTATTTGAATCAGATCGAAAAATAACGAATTTCCAAAATAATAAGACTTCAACGATATTTAGTGGTACTCTTTTTCACAAACTTGAATGACCTTAAATAAATATATTTTCAGGGTTCGTACAAAAATTTCGAATCACTTAAAAATTTTCGAGTTTTCTAGATTTACATTTTTTTCCCTGTAACAACTTTATTCAGAATATAACAATCTGTTTAATCCTTAAATTAGTCCAAACGGTGCAGCCGTTCAGAAGTGATGCTTTAAAGCTTTTCCTACTAGCTAACCTTTCGAGCTTCTTGCCGAATTAATGACGCAGTGCCAAATTTTTAATTTCCGTACTATTTATTTTCAAATTCATTAACCTAAAAATATAACTAAACAAAACAAAACTCAGCTTAGCACCTCTCTCTCTCTCTCACTT